AGCCAAAAATCTCATAGCACTTTATGCAAGTAAACATCATTGCTGCAGAGTATCTCCAGAATATTTCGTATGATCCAAAACCTCTTATTCATAAGAGCAGACAAATACATACCTTATCTTCCCACTCCAGTGCATGGAGGTTGGAGAGACAAAATTCCTAGTATTTTTTTTACTCCATAGATAGCTTGGTTTTGAATTGTTACTGTATGATTCCCACTTTCAGACTTCATCTTGAAGTGGAAGTCTGCCACAAGGATGTGCCATGTAGCCTGGGAAGAAAACCAGCAGATCTTTTATCATTATTGCCTTGTCTGTCTGGGTCACAGAGAAGCAATAGCCGCAGTTCAAGACTGTGTTCAAAGGAGAGATGTCAGGACTGAATTGTTTTCTGGTGAAGGAAGGATGGATAAAATATTAAATGCAACCTTCTGCTTGCCCTTATCTTTGTGTTTCCTGACAAGAATATCGTACTGTATTTTCATGGTTCTGTAGTTCAAAGCTGAAGATACACAGATTTGTGAAAGAAAAAAAAAAGATTTAATTGTTCAATAGTAGAAGTCATTATTATAAAAATAAGTGTAGATTTTTTATTACGTGTGCTTTCTTATGTGAAAGCACTTCTACTTGAGCGAGCAAGAGCACACTTTTGAGAGTTCTTTGGTTTAATTTTCATACACCTGCTGCTGTAATTATTATAATTTAATGCACAAAGGCATTTTTACTTTCTGAGCAGTAAAGGAGTTTGTCCATGAAAATTTCAGAAGAGGTGTGTCTGTCTCTCAGTCCTCTTTCCCAGTAGCCTTTAAACCTTTCAGGAAATACTAATCAAATCGGGGGCGGGGGGAGCATCAGAAATGGGGAACTGAGGTAGGAAAGGAGCTCGAGATGATTTTAAGTCCCTACAACTTCCCATGTGAACTGTTGGCTTGGATATAGGAAAGAGGGACGTGCTGGTCTCAACAGCAAGGAAGAGGCTGCAGTGTGAGCTGAGCAAGCGTTGGGGTAAGTTCGGCTTGGGGGCTACTTGTCTGCTGGGTGGATGATGAGCACACACAGCCGGGTGGGTCACCCGCCCCATAGCTGGTAAGTGAGGGTGCAGTAAGAGCCGACCGTAGGTTAGTTCTGAGACTGTTTTGAAAAGGGGGAGTTTGTGATAGGTGGAGGGTAGTACAGCCGGCTGGAGAGTGTTTTTGCAGAAGGTGAGGGGTAATGAACACTCTGTAGAGGAGCCGGGTTTCTTGTGGTAAGCAGTACCAGAGAAATGTGACACATCTGTGAGAAATGAAGCTGCATTAGTTCCTCTGCGCACAGGATTATCAGTTTTAGTTTCTACCCTATCACTAGGGTGAGAGCATGTTTCTTTGGCAGATTGTTGTATATTTACCTAGTGTTCTACCATGTCTTTGGTCCCTATTTTATTTTGAACCATTTTTATTATGCTTTTCCAACAGCATGCGTTTTCTCATGGAGAAAAATAGCAAACAGGCTGAGATCGGTGGCCCAAATCTTGTGTCACATCTGACATAGATTCAGAATTGCTTCAAAATGTGTATACGGAACCAGTAATTATCATGGTTCTTCTTCTTAAGCCGTAATTTCAAACTAGGTAGCTTCCAACAGTTGAATTACGCTTGACAGTGCCATACTGTTATTTAAAATAGTGTAAGCTATATGTACATCAGCTGTGCATATCTGAAGTGCATTAAAGCCCATTAAAGTAGACAGACTCTGAACTGTTTCAGTGGGTCTTGGATTACAGGTTAACAGAGAGCACAGCACCATGGCATTTTTGCAGATTCCTGCATTTGATTTTCCGTGAGCTGATTTTCCCTTCAGTCCCAACTGGGAGCAGGAGTTGTGTGGTGGTCTCTGGAAAGCCCCATTGTAGTCCACCTCTCTGTAGCCCTGCGAGGAACTGGTGGAGCACAGAATGATTTGTTTGCTCTCTGCTGTGCTGTGGGATTTGCAGCTGCCAAGTTCAAGGCAGTCACCAGTCACCTTGGTGTGTTACAAGAAAGTAGGATTGAAGCAGCAAAGGAGAAGAGGCAGTGAGGAAAAGGAGAGAACCAGACGGAAGGGGATAAGAAGTCACTCCAACTCCTGCATGTAAGCAATCTTGAAGAGACAGAAAGAGTTCATATATAAATTAAATGGGTTTTTTTCTGGTCTGGAACATCTTAAATTTCCCCTAAATTATAAATAGAAGTTCACTGATACAAAACTAGTACTGATGTATATTTAAGTGGGTGTGATTTGGTAATAGCTTGGGTGTGGCAGGCCAGGAAATAAAGGATGTAAACAATTTACAACCTTCTTTTTTTTTTATTAGAGCCTTTATCTTCGTAACTCTTATTAGTTGCCATAGATACAGACAACACAGGGCTTGTCTGGGTTAATGAAAAGTCTGTCATGCTGATAAAAAAATGTGATTTTTTCTTGAGAAAAATCTGCATTATTTCAATTCGACTATTCTTGGCAATTAATTTTAACTATGCTTCCATTTGTGTATGTAATTAAAAAATTGTGGCATTTAGTAGTCTACATTTTTGATACAGCATCTGCAGAATAATTTTGAGTACAATGCAGTACCAAACAAATTGGTCTTTAATTTAAATTAGAGATCATATTGACAGATACAAATTACTGTTCTGTCAGATTACAGGTGTGCTTCTGTACTTTCTAAAATCATTCTTACAATTTTTTCCACCTTGTGAAACTATTACAAGACGTTATCAGGTAACTGATTGGCTCATAAGTGCAGTCATGAGTGTGCACCACTTCATTCATGTTATGACGTTACATTAAGAACGTATGCTCTTCTTACCTAAAAGTTGAGTATCTCGGGTGATAAATGCAGTGAGTATGAGTTACCACATCTTAATTCCAAGTACTCTGTCCAAACAGAAAGCAGTTATATGCTGTAAATGTACCTCAACTGATTCAAGAAATTATTTTGTATGAAGAAAAAAAAAAAAAAAAAAAAAAAAAAAAAAAAAAAAAAAAGCAGCAGCTTTTCTGTTGGTAAGTGCAGGATGGTTCTAGTCTGGTATGCTATGGACAGTATTTTTAATTAGTTTAAGGTGGCCATATTTCTTAAAAGTGTGTTTGTCACAGGAACTATAGTCAGGATGAATCTGAAGTAAGTATTACTTGGGGCAGGGAGGCGAGATGTACCATGTGGGGACCAGAGAAGAAAGAAAACAATTTTTGAGTCAGCTTGATTTAAAATAAATACATATACAGTGGTTTCTTGGAGAGTTAGAAACAGTGGCAACAGCCCTGGCAAAGTAGATGCATGGTCAGAGTGCAGCTTAAGGTAGGTAGAGTATTGTTCCAGACCTGCGGAAGGTAGAGTGTAAGTTTAAATGATGCTATTTCTTTTAGGAATGCAAAGCATTTTGGCGTAAAGGCTGAATTCAGAGCACTGCTAAATAAGTGGATTGTGCACTGGGGGTATGTCTGGCTTCAGCATGGATGAGCAACCCTTGCAGCTGCAGCACATGCTTTTCCAATGAGCAGCGAGGTTAGGTGGTAAATCAATTAATCTATTAACAAAACTACTCTGTACTGGCGAACAGAATCCCTCAGATGAAATGCTCATGGTGCTCAGAAGTTGTGGGATTCTCCCTCTCTTGCCTGCAAGCTTAGCCACATTCATTTTGCCACATTAAGCCTTCTGTGTTTGCGGTTACGAGAGAATAGGATTTGCCCTGCTACTGTAATTTAATAACAAGGTATAGGAGAAATGACTGGACTGGTATAGTTCTGCAAGGATCTGACTGCTGGTACACAGAGAGCAACAGAGAAAACGGTGCCACATCCTATTTCCAATACACCGTATAGGTTTCCTCTACAATCTTTCAGTAGTAAAATTACACTTAACTGTATTTTTAATGGCTAGAATCAAGATCCTAGAGTAAGTATTTCCTGAGGAAAGAAAGGTAGGTTATTAAGAGCAGCAGTAAATAAATTTGGGATTTTAAAAGTATTGAAAACTTTGCCAGATGTCTTAGAGGTTTGAAAAATAATTTAAGTCTTTTTAGAGATTAAAAGCTGTTTTTCTAAGTCAGAACAGTTTGTTTTGCCAGAAATAAATTGGCATTAATAAAAACAATGGTCTCCTAAGGATGAAAAAAGGTTTGAATGTGCGCATGTATCACGTTTCAGTTTTAAACTCAACAAGACTGCAGAGAGTCTGTAATTATGTCCTTGCAATTTCTAAATATTCAGATCACAGTGTTCTCAGGCCCAATTTGTGAATCTGCTCTCTATACAGAAAGCCAGGATGAGGTATTCAGTACCTTTGAACCAATTTAAACAAACAAACAAAAATTATTTAACATAGCTTTAGAAAATACTGATGTTTGTCATCATTGTACGTCTGAGTATTTGTGATCTTTCTATTTAGATCTTCCATCTCTCAGCTGAACACTGGTTGTGTATTCGAGCAGGATTGTTCAGTATCTCCCCACACTGAGCTTTTCTCTTCAGTACACCCAGCGGAGAGAGTCGGGGTCCCCGTGGGACTTGCAGCTGCGCAGGCTATTGCAGTAGCAACATCCTGACACACCATTCAACTTTTTCCAGTCCTAGACCCAGGATGCGGAGCAGGATGCTGCACACATTTGATGTACTAAAGATGACTCTATCTGCTGCAAATGGTTTTGTCCTTAAAAGGCTCCTGAAATTAAACTGGTCAAATACTTCTACAGTTAACATGACTTTAGCAGGAGAATTAGTCGAGATTTGTTTGTCCCACGTTGTGAATGAACAAGATCTGGCCTCACATGTGTTTTCACTTGTTTCTTTACTTGGGTTAACTTGGTGAGACTCAGAAGAACAGAAAAAAATAAATCTCCTGTAACACTTTCAGAATTAGGCTCATAATAATTCATTTAAAATGTTTAAAATAATCCAGCAGTTAGTAGTAGTAAACCTGAGAATACACGGAAACCCTTTACTGTTGCAGGACTTCTGACTTTGTTGTGTTTTCTTTGTAGGGCCTTGGTATGTCTGGTGGAAGTCAGGCTGGCTTGGGGACTCCTTCATCCAGGCAGTATGCACGACAGAAGATAACTCGCGTAAACCTCAGGGACTTCATCTTCTACATGGAACAGGAAAGAGAAACAAGCCATTCTCTCCTGCTCTATCGAGCTCTGCTTAAATAAAGCCAAGAATTGTACTGATTTCTCCATACAGAAGCTCAACTTGCATTGAAAAGCTGTCATTTTAATGTGCCTTCTATTTTTTTCCGAAGTCAATGTTCCAGTAATTTTGTTTTGTAAAATTGTCAGACACATGCAATAAATTCCCTTTATGTAAAAAAAAAAAAACAAACCAACAAACCCACACAAAAAAAAAAATGTGCAAAAGGTTTTAAAATGTTAAATCCACAGATAAAACCGACATCAAAGTCTTGTTCTGTTTGGCCCTTTTAGGTGAGGCTGAAGTAGATGGCCCTGAAGTTACGCCATTGGAGACAGCTGCAGTGGCTCACCTGAACCATCTCATGGCAAGAACTGGGACAGGGCCACAGGACTGGGACCTAACCACGGTGTTAATCTGCATTTTCACTTACGGTGCTGGTTTTCTTTTCTTTTTAGTTTTACTAGCACTGTTTCCACTGACTAATCATGGTGATATCTGTTGTTATTTTAAAATAGTTATAACTGCAAGTTTTTGCACAGTTAAGAGAATAGCCACTGCACACTCTCACAAATTTTATATATTTAGGATTTTTGCTTTTACTGCACAGCTCATTTCCTGAGCCATTTGCTCAACCAAATCCTAAGTGTATGAAATCTGTACGTTTGGGTCCCAGCTGAGTTCCCTTGACTAGCTTCCAGTTGTTTTCTAAATCTCTTCAACCTTTTGCACATTTGTAGCAGCTGGTTAGTAACATGAATCAAAGTTGGGTTTTATTTTCTAAAAAATATTTTAATTTATTTATTGCAAAGAGTATGGTTTAATGGTGGTTTTAAAAGAGAGTATTGTTCAGTAAAGATTTTAGAGTATTCTATATGGATTTTTAAAGTCACTGTAGAAGTTTTGGGGGCCGGTTCCAGGCGTAGAGAACCTGGAGAGGCGGGTGAGCCCTGGCAGCCCGGTGCCGCCGCGCGGCCGGGGCAGCGCCGCAGGGACCGGCGATGCCTTTGCCTTGGACGATTGGACCCGAGGACTCCAGTCCGGAGAGGCTCATGAACAAGCGCATGACTTTAAGCATAATGAGTAGTTTTAAGTACTTAAAGGTGGATGAATGCTTTTTAAATGCTTTGCTGAATTGGAATTTAAGGGGCCCACACCGAAGCCACGTGAAGTCTGTGTGAGTCTTTTAAATGGGTATGGGACAGGAATAGTAAGCAGGCAGGTGGGCACAAGTTGTTGGACTTCAACATAACAGTATTATCAGTAACCATGGAAGGGAGACATTTGCTTATTTATCTTTTCAATTTTTACTGTGTTATGCTTGCCACTTTTTTGAGGCAATTTTTTTTTTTTTTTTTTTTGATGGGAAACCATAGCGAAAGCACAAATAGAACTATTTGTCCAATAGTTTTAAAAACAAAAGTTTTAATTATTTTTTAAGGTTTATGAAAAGCAGAAGAAAATTTATACTGCTGCTATTTAGCCAAAAGATTATTCATAAGGTATTTAAGGCCAGGAAGTGTAAAATTATGTTTTAAATGTATTGATAATTTGTACATATTGTTTATAAAGGCCTTGTGTTTATTAGAATTACGTTATTTTGATGATTTCTGTACATACTCGTAAATACCCCCAATTTGTGTGAAAACATACTCCCTTATTTGTACTTATTTTGTAAAGAAATAAAACAATTTACTAAAGTAACACATTGAGTGACATACAGCATTAATTTATCAAACATGAATTTCACATTGTCTTGTAGTTCTTAAGCACTGTTCAGAAACATTTTGCATTAAAATATTAACAGAATACCCACAAAGAAATATTAAAACCAAATACTTCAATGTTTTGTTGTGCTGATTCTTATCCTTTGTCAAACATCTAATAAAATTGTCAGCAAACCTCGATGCTATTAATACAGTGAATGAATGCACTCAACAGTTGCTTTCTCAAAAGCGATTAGTCCAATAAGCACAACATAACATTCTCGCTTTCTGTCCGAGACTTGGGAGCACGGTGGTGTAAGAGGGTTGTACAGAAAGTGCTAGCGAAGACTTGTGTTCTTCAAGCCACAGTTTCAGTGCTCAGCAACAGAGAATCAGAACAATTTTGTTTAATCGAATTAGGCGAAAAAAACAGGCTACGTTTACTTTTTGGCTTTCATAATAAAAACATTTGCTGGCTGTGCACCACAGCTTTACTGGAGTTTCTATGGTATTTTAAAACCTGTTTTAGTGATGCTGAGCAATGTTCTTAATTAAGTTATGCTGCTATGGTTTAAGGCCAGAAGTAAAAATTCAAATCAGTCTTTGCTGATATTGCTGCCTAAAAATATAGGGAAATAAGTAAAAAAGATATAAATGAAACTGTAATAAACTTTTAAATAAGTGACCTGAAGTTACTAACTAAAAGAACGTGTCCTAGTTGGGTTTTTTTAAAGGCATATTTCTTCTAACAAAGTGATTGTTTCCACATGTCTTCCTTGCCTTAGTGCTACTTTGCAGTCAATGTTGTGATGTCATGGCTCAAACTTTCCATCTCAAGTTCACATTTAACTCGGCTGGCGCGGCCTGGAACCCTTTACGATGCCACCTTAGCAAGCTGCCCTAAGTACTGGAGCTGCTTTATTGAGCTATTAAAAAAATATGGTAAACACAAACTGAAGAAAACCAAACTAACCAACCAGAAATACTTCCAATGTTCTACACCGATCTCAAAGCATCATCCCGCTTCCAGGCTGGGGAAGAGCTGCCTGTGCTCAGCCCTCGGTGGGTACCGGGGGTCTGGTCCTGCTTGCCGAGGGCCCCTGCTGACCCCGGGGGAGGCAGAACTGGGCCCCGGTGTTTAAATGTAAACGGGAGGGGTTGGCCCTTCTCCCCTGGCCAAGAGGTAATGAGCAGAGAGGACGCGCCAAGAGACGAGCGCTCAGCCGCTGCTAGTGCTAACTCTCCCTGCTCAGGGGGCAGGACAAAAGTGTATACAGGACAAAAAAAAAAAAGCTAAACAGATTATTTAAGGATACTCTGAACTTAAAGTGAACTCAATGTATGAAAGTAATAAATAAAATACTTTTTTTTTTCTTTTTGTAAGACATGGCTACATCAAGCTGAATGGAGCAAAAGGCCGGAGGAGACACAATCAAAATTCTCACCTCTTTTAAACAACATGGGAGATACAGTGAGTGTTCCACCCTACTTGCTTATTTTTCATCATTTACTTTACAGAAATGTTTATGGCATGAAGTACTGTATAAGAAATGTGCATACACAAATACATGACAATTATACGTTAAGTTCTTTACAATATTAAATGTATAATATACAATTCTACAGATATCTTACATACAAAGGTGAATGTTGTGCCATATATTCAAATATGGCAATGCCTAGCAACTTTAGAATGTCATACAAGTATAAAACCACAAAATAAAATAACTTTACAATTCTTTTAAAGTAGACAGATTTGCTCAGCTGTTCTGCTAAGTTAGCAGGCCAACACATATCAGCTAAGATTTCCAGAAGAGATTTCTGATTTGGGTAACCAAGGTGAGAAAACCTGCAGAGGTCTGATTTTCCACGGAGAAGTATCCAGCCCTTTTCCAAAAATTAGACCCCTGCCTAGATTGTACCTTGGATAGTCAGTACAGCTCTTCACTTTTGAAAATATTAGTCTGAAAAACACGATTTTTAAATTTTGCCTGATTGTAATCATTTGGCATTAAAGAATTGTTGACCACTTAATAGTCTGTCCCTTGTTCTATATGGCCATATTTATGCATCTAAAAAGAGTTTAATTAAAATTCATCATCTACAACAGTATTCTATAAATTAATGTGGGAGAAACTAAATTGTGATTAACACATGAATTAGTTATTGAGGACCCAATCATGCTAAACAGCAATAAACAGGATTTAGCAGAATGCTATTTATAACCTTGCACCTGGCAAACATGGTGCTGTCTCCTGAGTTAGGAAGCCCTGCAAGTCCGAGTCGATACCGATTCATGGAAGGAGCAGTAACCTCCTGCAGACAGCGGGCTTCGTTAAAGAGAACATTACACAGAGGGCAGCTACAGAATCGGCATTTTAATAATAGTTTAAAAATAATAGAGGAAAAATTCTAAACAAAAGGTGGCCTGCTTTCATCGGACAATGGCAGTAGAGGGTTTTAACATCTTTTTGCAAAAATTCCAAACCCATAAAGAGTAGGCTTGTCCAAAATTCTTAATTGTTTCCTCCTAAATGTGGGCTTTTACCATGGTTAGTAAATGAGTAACGGGGTGGCAGAGCTGGCTTGGCAGAACCACGCGTCTTTGATGATGCAAAACTTAACAGTTTCTGAGACAAAACAAGACTGGCTTTAAGAGAACTACAGCTCCATGTTAGGTATGTGACCCTTGTCTGATGGTGGCTGGCATTTTATTTTGTGCTTCCAGATCCCTACTTTTGCAAATGTTGCCATAATCGGCCTTGTCAAATTTTCTGTCGCTGTTTTGTTTTGTTTGTGGGGGGGGTTTTAGTACTGAGCACCAGTTGACTATAAATTAGTCCTTTTCTGATTCTGGATTCTGTCCACAGAGAGATATTTCAGTTGGAAATGTTGTATAAAAATAAGCCATTTGCTAGCACGAGTGAGTACAATCACAGAAGTGTAACGTAATGTATGGAGGTGTAAAGCACGTCTGATATGAAGGAGGTGTGGCAGTCAGGGAAGATACTCAGTGCAGTTTTTAGTGTACCGTCTTCCTCGCGGAGGCGCCCGCTTCCACGCGTCACAGCACTGGGGTACTCTTGGAAAGGCCGTCAGAACCATTTCTCCTGCTGATCTATTAAAATTGCTTTAATTGCTCTTTCTGTAGAAGTCCAGTCTAGGGTCAGGGGTTTCTGAAGCTTTGCCTTTTACACCACCACAGCTGTTCAGCCCAAAGTACATTCCCAGCAGGCCTCGTATGCTGAGCATGCTCAGGAATTTCATCGTGAAAAACGGACAACTGGTTTTTCAAATGCATTTCATGGCTGGCTATGTGACAGGTAGTTTCAGAATACCACTAATTGGCAACATAAAGTCAAAATCTGTTTGCTAATACTGTTTTGCAAATCCTTAAGAGTTTCACATAAGGGACTATTAAACACTTCTACGGTTACAAAGGAGTACGGGTAGGGTCTAGTCCAGGGGCTCCTGTTTTATTCTGATTGTTGGGGTAGGTTGTGGTCGTCTGTCTTCGCGACACAGCACGTATTCACTGAACTGAGAGGAATCCACCCCACCACCGCATGAAGCTGCCACATTAAATCCCTTCTGAAATAATCTTTCGAGCACCTGCAACGTGGGGAAAAAAATCAGATTAATATTTAGCAAATTTTAGTGATAAAAGCATGCAGGAGCACTGGATCTAAATGATGGATTTAGTCTTTCGAGTCCTTGTTGAATGAATATTATTCAGCTATAATTCTATAACTTATTCTTAAATGACTACACTGTGATTAAAGTCTCGCTCTCAGCAAACCTCTGCAGAAAACAAAAATTAATCAAACAAATAAGCACTCTGCAGAGCAGCTTAGTACATTATATAGTAAAATACTGGACTGTGGTGATATTGATGCTATCTCTTACTGCTTATAGAAAACAACACTGGGTTTAAGTCATAATAAAAAGTGCCCATTATTCATTAAATAATACGAACAGTCTTACAGAAAGGGGTTGAAAATATTTCTCAGCTCTTCCTTGGCAGATGAAAATGTCTTAGGAGTCTGAGTGACACTTCCACCAGATCTTCACAGAAGTCACAGCTGTGATTTTCCCTTGCTGGAAGGGACCACTGCTTTTAGCAAAGCATGGCAGGGATGGGATGCAGAGCCAAGACGTGGACAATAGGGAAACATTCTGGCCCAAGAACGAGGTTAATTTGTATTGCCCAAGTATGTATTTTCTCCTTCTCCTTCTAAAGAAAAGTTGGTGCAATTTAGATGCATGAATTTAAGGAACCCAGAGGCAACTTTAATTTCTGAGACTGTCACACAGCACATTACCCTAGGATATACTGATCTTGGCAATATGATCGGGGCCATGTTTTCACATGCGTGAGCATGTTGATATACGGTTTCCCAGCAGAGCAGGACGCACACAGACTTTTCTGAGCATTGGGTGAGAGCAGATGCCAGACCCACCTTCAGCAGAGCTGCGATGCAAAATCCACTGCAGGAGATGCCATGCTCCCTCCCTGCCGCTGGCGGCTCTCCTGAGACCAGGCCAGCAGCCAGGAAAAATGATCCCCGCGTTTTTCTCTACCGACAAAATGCCATCACGGGGAGCAGCCTGTACCGTTCTGTAACAGGCTCCCCAAGGTACCACTTCCATTGCTATGGCATGTGGGCCCACTGTACTGGCAAGTGAACCCAGTGATTTACTAAATCCGGAGACCTCGGTAACACCGGCGTCCCCATGTGAC